TTATCCTAATATATTATTATTGTACAAAAAAATCAATAACATTTTTTTCCAATACCAAATGCCCAAGATTCTCATAACTTTTATTTCAGCATCTTTTATTTTAAAGTTAAGAATCATGATTAACATTTAACTCCCCGACACATATAGACTTTTATATATATATATATATAGAGAGAGAGAGAGAGAGAGAGAGGGGCATATGAAAGTAGAGGTGTGCGCAATAGGGTTTGAACGGTTTGAGAGTAAAATTATAAATCAAATAACAGATTGACAAATCACGGTTTGAACGATTTTGGACGAATTGACAGATTGAAAAATATTATAACTAATTATCAAACATTTGGATAATATATAATACTAATTTGCATAATATTTATATATATATATATATAATAAGGAAAATTATTTATAAGTCCTATTAGGGAGACTTATACTACATATGGTCCTACTAAATAACTTATATTCTCATAAGTCCTGTGAAAATTTTGTTGACGCATTTACCCTCAATATTAGTTGTTAATATCATAAATAATGGCAAAATCATATATAAGAAATTGAATGTTACCATAAACCATATCTATATAAATGTAAATTTGAATTTCAAAATATACAAACAAGTAATATTTTCACATTCAATTTAAAAAATCAAAAACTTTGCAAGTTTACGAAACGAAACGTGACATGTACGTAAATATTAAATACAACAATGTCACAACACAATTTGAAAGAAAAAATACAACCGAACGTAATACACACAAAACATGACAATATTATAAATGTGAGTTAACATTACAACCTAAATGTAACGTCATTGGAGGCTAATAAAAGTGTGTCAATGTATGGATGTACCATTTTCATAAACCAGCAACATTTTTACATTGAATTAAAAAAAATTAAAAACCCATTAAATTTGCGAAACGTAACGTGACACGTACATAAACATTTTATACAACAACGTTACAACACAAATTCAAAGACAAATACAACCGAACGTAACACGCACAAAACATGACAACATTACAAATATGGGTTAACATTACAACCTAAATGTAACGTCATTGGAGGCTAATGAAAGTATGCCAATATATGGATGTACCATTTTTCATAAGCCAGCAACATTTTCACATTCAATTAAAAAAATTAAAAACCCATTAAGTTTGCGAAACGTAACGTAACACTTGCATAAACGCAACATAACGTGACAATATCAAATGCGACATTCAAATGCAAAAAAACACATTCGCATTGTAAAATGGTACATCCATACATTGGCACACTTTCATTAACCTCCAATGACGTTACATTTGTTGGAAAAATGGTTTAATATAGGCATATATTTTTTTTAGCTCAAATTGAGTGGGCCCCAAACGTCTTTTGGGGTGAGTCCGAAGAGGTGACGTGTTCCTTGCCATGTGGCAAGTCACACGGTGAAAACGGAATGTCAAAACCATTTATGAGTAAATGGGAAGTTGATGTCGTTTTCGAGTCTAACATTAATTTTTTAGATAAAATTCCTTTGAATTTTTTCAATAAAAATTATTGTGGGAATTTAATTTAAATTCTAAATTCAAATTTTGGGTTCCTGAGTAGTTTCCTAAAATTTGTAATTGTGGGAATTTAATTTAATTCTAAATTCAAATTTTTGGATTCCTAAGTGGTTTCCTAAAATTTGTACCTCTTACTTTACTTATTAAATTATTTAATTTTTTTAATATACATATATTCAAAATAATTTATTTAATAAAGGTGAAACAGATTTATATATTCCAAACAGTTTAGTATTTTGTGCATCGGCTACTTGTCAAATTATTTGGAAAGGAAACTGTTCCTGTACAAACGGTCCAAATTGTTTGACTTAAGGAGTGCACCTGTTCATTTGGATTAAATCTGTTCAAAACAGTTGCGCACCCCATTTTGCACCTATTCGGGTCTATTATAGTTGCCTATAAATACTTGGTATTTCCAACAGTTTTGGGGATGAAAAAAAAACAGTCTCAAATTTTGTCTTTTTGCTGTCCAAATTTCTTTTAGTGTACTATTCTTCATTTTAGATTTAAAAATAAATATTCAGAGAGATAGAACACAGGTTTGGTTTGCCGAACAAATTTATTTGAAGTGCTTCTATAAATTTGTGAAGATCATTGTATCCTGGGAGATAGACGCCATTCAACCGTAAGCACCGTAGCGGGACGAATCTGTCTTAAGGACAGAGTGCCACACACTCGACTTGGTCTTAATTTTATTTGGGTTCGATAAATAAATCTGGTATGTTTTTTATTTGTTTTGTTTGAATTTATTTCAAGTTTTTTATTTACACAGAAGATTGTTCCAACAACATTTAAGTTGTAATGTTAACTCACATTTGAAATGTTGTCATGTTTTGTGCGTGTTACTTTCGATTGTATTTTTTTTTTTTTTTTGAATTTGTGTTGTGACATTGTTATATTCAATATTTACGTACGTGTCACGTTACGTTTCGCAAACTTACTACGTTTTTTATTTTTTAAATTAAATGTGAAAATATTGCTTGTTCATATATTTTGAAATTCAAATTCACATTCATATAGATATGATTTATGGTAACATTTAATTTCCTATATATGGTTTTCCCGTTATAGGGTATAATAGTATATTAATATCATTTATTCACATTTCATAAGACCTTGTGGAATACATTTCTATCTAAATAGGACTTGAAACTCTATAAGAAATTATACTAGACTTGACATTAAATAAGTATGATGATTTTTCCTATATAATACAAACTAATTTGATATAATGGGACTTATAAATAATTTTTCCTATATAATACAAACTAATTTGATATAATATTTTTCATATACTAACTATTAATTTGTAACAAATTTCACATCTTAAATCTCTCATATTCATTTTTACTTTGATATTCCTTTCAAAGTTAAAAATATAGTATGTATTAACTATACTGGAGAGAAACTGTTTCAAAAGAGAATTATAAAATTCAAAGTTTAATATACAATTAGCAGATTAAATGATACGAATTAATACAAATCAATACAATTTTAACAGATTGGATAGTGTTTTAAACAGCCCTATACAAAAGATGATGTACACAAGTAAAGGCGAATCCTACTTAGGAGGGGGTGGCCAAGTAATTGTTGTCAACTATATTTATAATAAGATGAGTATTACTTTTTGTATACTCTCAATTCATCACTTAATTTTAAAAAAAGAGTTCATTAAGGCCTCGTTTCGTAAGCGAGTTTTTTAGTCAAAAAGTTAGAAAGTTACTAAAAAAAAATAAAAAAGCCAATAACTTATACAAAAAAGTCAATGATTCTTTTTTCTCTCTACTTTTTGCACATTTTTTCATAAAAAATCAAAAAATTATCTCAAACATATTAATTTTTTTTACATCATATTTTAACTAAAAAGTTAAAAAGTTGCTAAAAAAAGCATAATCCCAAACAAGACGTAAGTAAAACAGTTGTAGTTTCTTGTTATGATTATCAAATTGACAAAACCAACAACTTTTTTGTGACAAAATGAAGGCTGAGAAGCTGATGTTTAATTAAGTATGATGATTCTTATATTAGTAAAAGATAAATGTGCCGTTCGGAGAGTGAGTTGACTTTTTAATTTTTTGACTTTTTTTTGAAAGAAGAGTGTAATGATTATGGATCGAATGTGATGTTTTATTTTTTATAACTAAAATAACATATTTTGTCTTTTGTGCCCAAAAAGTCCCAATTACGTCTTTCCAATGTGAGAATATAGTATGTTATTGGATTTTGCATTTGTGGTGAATTTTTTTCTCATTTATTATTATGATTATTATTATTTTGGTCTCTACAAATTCAACATCTAAACATAACCTCAAATTATATTTAGAACATAAATTTAAAGAGAGATGTGTAGAAGAAAATTAATAAATAAATAAATGAATTGAAAGGAGCTAAATTTAATTCTTCATTGTCCTTTTTGCTCGAAAAAAAGAGTATAGTGTATTACACTCCAGTACAAGAAAAAAGACTTTCTTGACGTTTATTAAATCCTGTAGAAGTCACAAAAATAAAATTACTTTGTTATAGATTCTTCACTACACGGACAACCTCTAATTGAGATAAAGACTTGAGGTTTTATTTACTTTTTAATTTTTTTATTGTTGCATCAGTAAAGAATCTAAGAATGGCATTGAGTTCAAACGAAAAGTTGAAGAGCCCTATGACACCATGCTGTGATGATGATGATGAAGCCATTTTGATTTTAAGTTTAGACATGTCACATAACTTTACTGATGATGTATGTATATTATAATCACTCTTTTATGCAAGACATGTTTGGATAGTAGGTGTTTTAACGCGTTTTTTTTTATGTTCTGTCATTGCTTAGCCGCTCGATTTGTGTAAAATACATGTTTTTTAGGTTAGACTTTGTATAGGTCATGTGTAGTGTTTGAAATTTTGAGAATTGAATTTGAAAACTATTTAACATTTATGGGATATAGTGTTTTAGCAATTACAAATTTTATGGGTATTTTGGGAAAACGAAGAAAAATGACAAACTAGCCTATAATTCCACTCCTAGTTCAAGCTATCTTGCTCTTGCTCTTGCTCTTGCTCTTCATCAATATGATCATCAGTTCTTACTTTTATCCAGCTGAAATCAACTTCAGATTTTAAACCTTTTTCATGAAATCATATATATTGGATTCGCAGAATAATAATAATAATAAAATATTCACTAATCAATATGACAATAGGAAAGATTGCAGCACCGTCGATATGATGATTCATTCACTGTGTAAGTGTCTGGCCGTAGGATTCCCTTCTTATCTTATGTTATATCACCACCTCCTAGGTCTAAAGACGTTTAACCTAAAATATATATCTCAATGGGTATCAATATTGGTTGTCGATTTCACACCTCGATGCAATAAACAATAGCCAGAACCAAGAACAGATCAAAAGTTCAATATTCCTAAGAAACAGAATGGGATCACCAAGAAAGCTAAACCAGACTTATCTCAAAACCAATTTTGCAAATCCGTATATATATGTGAACTCAAATATAAATCCAAATGCAAGCATTATATGATTGTTATGTGAATTTGAAGGAAAATACATTGAATAGGTAACAAGAAAGATCTACCTTTGAAGTACTATTTGTTTATAATCAATATAATTCAAAAGCAAAAGCAAAAGCAAAAGCAAAAGCAAACACACAAATCAGTTGCTATACCCATCTCACAAAAACAACAACACACGACAGAAGTGTCTGGTTCAATTACGCAATGATTGTTATACGGGTAACTTCAACATGATTTTTCTCACAAGGAATACGCTAGGCAGTGAATTGATCACCTTTGATAACCAGAAGAGGGATAACCTTGAGGAGGTGGATAACCATAGGCCGGTTGAGGTGGATATCCAGCACTAGGAGGGTATGGCTGATCAAGGCGTGACATTTGCTGGAAAGGTGGCACTGCCATCACTGATGGTGGCCCAAACATACCATCCCGTTTGTCCATTTCAATTTTGTGTTGTGTCTGCAATTCTCCACATTAATGTTAATTACTACAGATGAAGTGAAATGAATCAAGAACAATGAACAGTATTTTGAACAGAATTCCACACCAATGCTCCGTTTGGTAGAAAACATTTTCCCCAAGAAAACATTTTCCAATGTTTGATTGCACTTATTAGTGGTGGTGTTGGGGGTGGCAAGGGAGGGGTAGTGGTTGATGGTGGTGGAGGTGATGGTTGTGGGGTGGTGATAATGTGTGATGGCATTGGTAAAATTTTAGTTTGAAAAATGTTTTCTCAGCTTTTCAAATGTGGAAAACATTTTCTGCCCAAACAAGCTTGTTTGCCATTGACCACACAAAACGTTTTCTATTGACTTTCACTTTTCATTGTACCAAACGCTAGAAAATACCGAAAATTGTTATCCTTGCGGCATTGGTAAAACTTTAGTTTGGAAAATGTTTCTCAGCTTTTCAAAAGTGGGAAACATTTTCCACCCAAACAAGCCTGTTTTCCGTTGACCACGAAAAACGTTTTATGTTGACTTTCACTTTTCATCGTACCGAACGCCCAAAAATACCGAAAATTGTGATCCTTTTTTTCTTTTTCTTTTTTTTTTTCTTTTTTTTTGGGGGTAAATTTTTTTTTTTTTTTGGGGGGGGGGGGGGAATGATGGGGAAGTTTAAGGAGACACATCAGTCCATGTTGAAATTCTTGTAAAAAAGTATTATATATATATATAAGCATTTTCCATGTTCTTCAAGGAATATACATGTAATTTTATAGTTTCCTATTTATAATTGTTCTCGTTTATCATGTGCATACCTGCATACATGCACAAACCCTGCACAAACAAAATTAAGCATCAAATTCGGTAAGATACTTTGTAACGAATTCAGTCAAGTGTTCAGTGAGAAGTTAGGAAGGGAACCCTTACGTGCAATAAACCATATCAGCCAAACAAGACAGTATCTGAGAAGCCTCTTGAATTTCCTGACTTCCAACAATCATTGCAACAATGGAAAATATGCATGCAACTTGTTGAAGGCAGAACATGAAACCCTAGATATCAAGAAAAAACTTGTTTAACAAAATGCAAAGTATTTGTATTCAGTTAATGTGGAGAGAGAGAGAGAGAGAGAGAGATTATACAATAATGCAATTATCACATTGTGTTGTCTGTATGTTAAACTCGTCTTGCAACAGAAACCGGGTTGACGCAACAGAGTTTCCAAAGCATAAGAAAACCTAAACAAATGAAATAAGACTAGAATCAATAAAAAGTGCCCAAAAAATAGTCAACGCAGATGCAAAATGAAGTAATAACTTCCTTCTCAATATCTAAAAAGAAAAAGGGTAGAAACTAGCAAATAGTGTGTCGAAGTAAGAAGACAAGTAAATAAAATGGACACATAAACGAAGTAATGACAAACAAAATCAAACAATGATCGCACCTCGGTGGCAAGGCAAAATTCTGGGCACCTACTTTCTCCACACCGACCACTACAGGGCAGATACCCAGCACAGCAGGTGTACCTGTGACAAGCAAGAAAAGTATGCTAAAACCAGGAGGTCGTTTCATATCAAAGTAGTAACGAAAATCAATTACCTTGACATATCATTGTAAAGAGCTCGCTTGCGGAGGAGGTATGAGACACATGGTCCACTGAAATGAAGAAGAAATTCAATTAATTGTACTACAATGGGGGAAAAAATGATGAAAATTTAGATAGCTTGTGAAATTATGAGGTAAACAAGTTCCAACCAAGAAACAAATACAATGCTAAAAGAATAATGCCAACGATATAATTTTCTCAAAACAATAGTATAAATTTCTTATAATGTGCTCTCCATGGCAACCCATACAGAAAAACTATTATATTCAAGATGGCAAGATCTTGGTTTCCGTTTGCAATATTATCAAGCCATTGCAGTCACAACAAGCTCACACTAGCTTCCATATTGCAAGCATCACTCAAAATTTAAGCCTATGTTTGGTTAGGCAGAAGGTGAAAGGAGGAAAGGGGGGGGAGGGAAGAAGGGAAGGAAGAGACCTTGATTCAGCTGTCTGTTTCATAGGGAGGAAGGGCAAAGGAACCCGTTTCCATCCCGGTGAACATTACCCTCTCCATCAAAACAACTTAGAGATCACCCAATCTCATCCATCATCAAACACATTAAACTACGAATTTTTTTCCAACCACTCTGTGGTTGTCTGTAGCAGGGTTGTTTTCAATATGCAACGAACTACTTAAAACTATAAAATAAGTTAGGAAAGGACAATAAACCATTAATTGGAAATTAAATGCAAAGGTAAGGACAAGTAGTTCATTACAAAGAATTCCATTAACCAGTCACTAATAATACAATAGTGAAACAGAGTGAATTATCAGTAATTAATGAGTTAGTGAGTTTTCACTGTAATAGCTTCAGTTTTAATTTCTAAATCTATTTTCTGAAATGGATCTTATTGACCATTTTCTAAGCCTATTTCTATTTTCAGTACTGTGATTAAAATGAATTGAGATGTCATGCATACATGAAACATGTTGACAGTCCATTTCCAAACTGGATTAGTATATATTTTTAACTCAGCCCAGAGCCTTCAATTTTTTAGAATGGTATTAAGTTTATATGGCCTTATCTCACCTATCATTTTTTTTCCTCCCAATTTCTTAAAGTATCCATTCAAATAAAACCCCGTGCCTCATGCAACTTTCATTTGAAAACCCCATGCTTATCTGAATTTCAAATTTACGTAGCGTTTGGAATAATTTTCAAAGCATAATTTATCAAATCATGATTTTGTTTTTAAATCATGATTTGGATGAAATATGTTAACCAGCATATTTTTAAAATACAACTCAAAATTACTTTCAAAACTCTTATCTTCTCTTTATTTTTTATTATTATTAATCAATCAATCAATCACTTTTTCTCTCTCATCTCTCCTCTCACATTCTCTCACATTCTATACATCAATCAGTTAAAAAAAAAAAATTTAAAAATTACAAGTCATCTCAAAACTATTTTCAAAACTCATAACCAAATAAATTTTCTCTTTTCAAATCATGATTCAAAAACTCAAAACACAGCTCTACACTCAAATCATTATTCTAAAACTAAACCAAACAGTCCCATATTTTCCTGCCACTGGCAGTGCTATTGCCAAAGAGCTTTCAGTTGCTCCCATAGCTTCACAGTTTGGACATGCAATCACCCTGGATGCAACCAAGACATTCTGTCGACAATATTTCCCTTCTCTGCTCCTTAATGTTACTGGTTTGCTACTTGCTTAACACTAGCTGATAACTCAAACTAGTACCTCTTTACTCCCCAATTAAAGAAGGCACAAGGTTAATTCCTAATGAAAACTGGAGAGGCGGGAGCTTATCCACAGGTGGGACAGGACAATGACCAAAAAAAAGGCTTCACCTTTATAATCCAAAAAGAAAGACTCAGGTAGTTCCACACGGTATGGGCAACTACTCCAGGAAAGGGAGGGAGAAGCTTATGAGCTAAGCCAGGGAAAATGTTCTCTTTATGTACCAAGGAAAAAAAAAAAAAGAAGAGGTTATTGGATGTAATGAGAGGTAGATTGCTGCAACTAGTACAAATACTGCCATTACTACTAAAAAATATTTTTACTACCAACAACACTACTACTACTATAAAAAGTACCACTTGTTTAGTCCTCATTGGAAGGGCATTTTGGAGGGGATTAGATAGAGTACAGACTTAACCTTTGGTATTATTTTGCAAAAAGAGGCTGTCCTCAAGTTGAAACCCACAAATTCAAGGTTGATAGACATAGTTAACCACTAAACCACTACCAAAAAAAAACTCCTCTTATTTGTCTAGGAGTTGTATAAGAAAAAGTGATAGAAAACTAAACATGAGTCCATAGATTACTACTAGTAATATTAATTAAAAAAAACACTGGCATACCTAAGAATAAAAATCATCTATTATTTTTGTTACGACATCAAAAGTTATTATTTTTATTATTGTGAAATCTTCAAAAGTTCAACCGGTTGAACCGGCCGGTCCGGTCCGGTTTTTAAAACCATGGTTACGACATCAAAAGTTATTATTTTTATTATTGTGAAATCTTCAAAACAAGAGTTAGTGAACTAAGCCAAATTTCGGAAAATGTTACATGGTCTTGGGCATGTGTATCGAATGTAGGCGTGGGTGCGTGTGCAAGTGTTATCCAAAAGTTGGGTATGAATATGGGGACATGTCCTTAATACTTATATATTAGTTTTTTTATCCATATATACAACACTAGAACCCAAGTCCAATTAGCAAACCTATACATGTTTTAAGGCTGGCTGGAGATAGCACTCATGCTGCCTATTAACTTCTGGTAAAAATAATTTCGACATTCTAACCATCACTAGGACAAGCTAGCCTGTAATTCCACTCTTATGAATACTTCAATTGATACTTTAATAAAATATATTAGGTGCTTAATTGGAACCTAAGGAGAAACAGTAAGGAAACTAATCACACGTTGTGGATCACCATGGAAAGCATGTAAGAATTGAATAAGAAACGTATAGTAGTTTTTACAAAGTTCCTTCCCACTTTCCCTTTATAAAACAGAGTTAGGAAGTCTCTTACTCTCTATCAAAGAACTAAGATCATAGGAAGTCTTTTCCTCTCTATACCATATGGGAAACACAAAAGTGTCCCCCTTCTCACTCAAGGAGAGTTTCCGGGTAACTATAATCCAATCTAATTACATCAGTAATGCATATCCTCAAGAAAATTTGTATTTTAAAGATTTCCTTCAAGAAGCAAAAGGATTTGCTTATATTTAACAAGAACATCCAAATAAGCCCATCATATTGATAACAATGTAATGAACAGTTTCAAGCATTCCATCCAGAAAGCTTCCTCATTCCAATAAAATTCATGAATTAAGCAGGCAATATAATAAACTCGTGATACAATCAAAAGACCCTAAACCAAATACTTCACAGTTTAATGATTCACCTCCATTAACACCCAATTTAGTTTTATAGTAGTGCTACTCTAGCCCAAATGCTAGACCCACTTTTCAAACCCAATGATGTGGTAGTGTATTACAATATTTAAGTTAACTCTCTCTCTCTTCATCAATCATCAGCCAATTATCTATTTTACACATCACTAGGTTTAGAAAGTTGGTATGCATATAATTTTCCTTAGTTTTATTCAATATATATCAGTTTCATGTCACTAGATAATTCAGTAGCACTAGCCCAGCTTCCATCTTAAAAAATAAAATAAAAGATAAAAAAACCATTGGGCAATGAGTATTTCACTACAAAATCAAATTGAACAATACAATTTTTATCCAAGTACAGACAAGGAAGTATGTAAAACCCAAAAATCAGAAGGGGGAAAAAAAAGAGGCTACTTTAGATTAATTCCATCAAAAGAAATTCATAATAAGAAACAGAGCAAAATTCAATTTTGAAAGCACAGATCAAGTCAACCATAGTAACAGTAAGTCCACGAGCAATTACAGATCTCTGACAAAACAAGAGAAATTGAAAACAAAAAACACAGATCTAAGAAATGGATCATCAGAGAGTACTCACCACCAAAACGCAAGGCAACAATCTGCATCAGAGAAAACAAACCAAAATCAATACCATATTAGAGTACAGAAGAGAGAGAGAGAGAGAGAGAGAGATGTGGAAGAGAGAGAATACAGGGAGTGTCGGCCTGAATGGTGCCCATGAGATCGGTGTGCCACAGGTTACGGTAGTTCTGGCGGAGCTGCATCTTGTCCAGATGCTCTTGCGACGCCATTGACATCTTCGAAGAGCTCGAAAACCAGGAAACCCTAGCTGATGAAGATGAAGATTTTCAAAAACACCCAAGACACTATATGTCCCTCTTGAATCGAAGACTTATAGATAATAATATGCAAGCTATGGTTTTTGGACTTCAACTTCACGATGTTGTAGCCAACGAACGACTCAGAAGACTTTGAGAACAACGACGATTGACTTTTGAAAAATAATTAAAAGGTAACTTAAATTTACACCTTAAATTTATTTATTTATTTATTATTATTCTATTTTTATTTTTTTTAATACAGATTCTACGTTACATTTAAAAAATTACATTCTGCTTTTTAGAGGTTCGTAATCTTATTATAGATTACAAATGACCATTTCTTTTTCTTCTTATTTCTTCTTCTCCTTTAGATGTCATATCCTAAAATTTTTTAAATGATCATTTTACCATTTCTTCTTCTTTTTCTTATCGTTATGAGTGCATTATATAACTTTCTATCATTAAATTTTATCTAAACATATTTTTATTGAGTGATAATATATAAACATAAATTTTATATAAAATTATCGTCTATTTACCCACATTTATTACAGTGTTACCAAACACCATTATTCACATTTATTATAGTATTACTGATTTTTGTATTTTTTTGTATTTGATGAATTTAAAAGGAATTCACAAAATATTATAATTCTTAAGTATATTTAGATTAGGTGTATCTAAAAAAAATTGCTTAAAATATTAAGAAAAATTCAGTAAAAATAAAAATAAAAAGGAAAAATAAAGGAATTCAATTCTTGTGTGAGTTAAACTAAATAAGATGATTGTTATTTCTCTTGAAATGACATTAACAAAATATTAATATTATTTTATTATTTTATATGTATAAAAGTTAAGGGACAAATATGTTATTTTAATCTGATAGAGAGATAAGTGTAATTTTTCAAACATGAAGAGATTTGTATTAAATAAAAATCTTAGAGGGTGTCAGTGTAATTTACCCTTAATTAAATATAAGTTTTTAGTGACAACAAGGTGATTGTGAAAATAAAAGAAGGTTTATTGGGTTGAATTAGAAATACAATAAATTAATTGGGTTAGATTGAAAATAAGGTAAATTTTAGGGCTTTGCGAAGTTAGAAATAATCCACTGCTTTTTCTAAAAAAATTTTGTCCTTAATGACTTTTATTTTAAAATTATGTCAAATTTTTTTATTAAAAATTATGTCAAAGAGAGAGAGAGATGTGGAAGAGAGAGAATACAGGGAGTGTCGGCCTGAATGGTGCCCATGAGATCGGTGTGCCACAGGTTACGGTAGTTCTGGCGGAGCTGCATCTTGTCCAGATGCTCTTGCGACGCCATTGACATCTTCGAAGAGCTCGAAAACCAGGAAACCCTAGCTGATGAAGATGAAGATTTTCAAAAACACCCAAGACACTATATGTCCCTCTTGAATCGAAGACTTATAGATAATAATATGCAAGCTATGGTTTTTGGACTTCAACTTCACGATGTTGTAGCCAACGAACGACTCAGAAGACTTTGAGAACAACGACGATTGACTTTTGAAAAATAATTAAAAGGTAACTTAAATTTACACCTTAAATTTATTTATTTATTTATTATTATTCTATTTTTATTTTTTTTAATACAGATTCTCCATTACATTTAAAAAATTACATTATGCTTTTAGAGGTTCGTGATCTTATTATAGATTACAAATGACCATTTCTTTTTCTTCTTATTTCTTCTTCTCCTTTATATGTCATATCCTAAAATTTTTTAAATAATCATTTTACCATTTCTTCTTCTTTTTCTTATCGTTATGAGTGCATTATATAACTTTCTATCATTAAATTTTATCTAAACATATTCTTATTGAGTGATAATATATAAACATAAATTTTATATAAAATTATCGTCTATTCACTCACATTTATTACAGTGTTACCAAACACCATTATTCACATTTATTATAGTATTACTGATTTTTTGTATTTTTTTGTATTTGATGAATTTAAAAGGAATTCACAAAATATTATGGTTCTTAAGTATATTTAGATTAGGTGTATCTAAAAAAAATTGCTTAAAATGCTAAGAAAAATTCAGTAAAAATAAAAATAAAAAGGAAAAATAAAGGAATTCAATTTTTGTGTGAGTTAAACTAAATAAGATGATTGTTATTTCTCTTGAAATGACATTAACAAAATATCAATATTATTTTATTATTTTATATGTATAAAAGTTAAGGGACAAATATGTTATTTTAATCTGATAGAGAGATAAGTGTAATTTTTCAAACATGAAGGGATTTGTATTAAATAAAAATCTTAGAGGGTGTCAGTGTAATTTACCCTTAATTAAATATAAGTTTTTTGTGACAACAAGGGTGATTGTGAAAATAAAACAAGGTTTATTGGGTTGAATTAGAAATACAATAAATTAATTGGGTTAGATTGAAAATAAGGTAAATTTTAGGGCTTTTTGCGAAGTTAGAAATAATCCACTGCTTTTTCTAAAAAAAATTTGTCCTTAATGACTTTTATTTTAAAATTATGTCAAATTTTTTTATTTCTTCAGTTCGTCTTGTATAGATAAATTTAAAATTTAATTTTTTTAAAAACAATTCAAATCAAAATTGAAATCAAAATAAATCCAAAAAATCTACTATTTTAGCCTATGTTTTTCTTTGTTTGATTTTTTTTTGAAAACAAACATATTTTTCAATTCGTCTCACTACGTATAATCTACAAACTTTAAAAAAAAATTAAATTCACTAAATACGAAAATAAGCTAACAAAAAAAAATACAAAAAAAAAAAAAACCTTTTTTTTTTTGTCTTTGCATTTTTTCTCTCTCTTTTTTTTTTTTTTTTTTTGTCATTCTTTGACGTAATGATGTTATGAACACTCGTAGGCAATAACCTAATTTAACGGGTTAAGTTAAAATTTAGAATAAAGCAATTTTAAAATGGAAAATGTTTAGTGGTCTAAATTTTTGTAACTCGAATATGTTAAAATGATGTCATTTTATACTTAAAATGACGTCATTTTGGATGTTTCAAGCTATATTTTTTCGGACCATCTAGTATTATTGGTTTAAAATTATGTCATTTTGTTTTAATCTTAGATATATTTGATTACCCTACGCAAATAAACCAAACATAAAATAGGCATCAATAAATAAGATTTTATAAAATTTATTAATAGAATATATATTTTATGTTTGATTTAATTTTTTTGGTTTATTTAGTAAAAAATAATAAGATTTAAAATATTTACAATTTCTAAATTTTTATTGCATAATGAAAAGATTATGTAACAATTTAATTAACCAAAAGAATTTAATTTGTCAAAAATTACAAAAAAAAATTAAAACAAAATAATTTTATAATTTATTTAATTATTTAAAAATTAATCATTTAAAAATTATAATTATAAAAATTAATTTATACTAATATAACCCAATGCTCTCTCCCCTTAACGCCTAAGGAACAACTAAAAAGACTCCGTAAACAATGACGAGCTGGACAATTGACTTTCCAAAGTAACAGTTTTTCAGTGACGGCAGGAATGATTATGGAAACGAAACAAAAGTTTATTGGGTTAAATTGTCAATAGAAAAATGGGTCCAATTTGTTTTAAGAGGTAGAATAGAAGGGATTAATAGTGAGAAAATTGTTAGTGAGAAAATTAATAAAATTGTGTTTGTTTTTATAGTGAGGGGATTAGTAAAATTGTGTTTATTTTGATAGTAAGGGAATTGTTAAATTATTTTTATATAAAATAAATATCAAATAATAAAACAAATAAAATTATGATTTTTACTTAACAAAAAATATAAAACCATTAAACATTAATGTTTAAAAACAAATGCTCAACAAGTTAAAAAAAATAAAAATAAAAATAAAAAAATGCGTTGACCAGTTGACCGGCCAGATTTCTGGCCAGACGTCCGATAATACCCAATCCGAACGGACTAATTTGCCAATATCATCTCTCACTCCGGATTGCTAATACCCTTGCCAAGGCCCATCCATAGTCCTTTTAGACTACGAATCTGGACCTCCCAAACCAAAATAAACAGGCTCTATCTTTACTGTTCATTTATCACAGCCTAGAGTGGAGTATGATAGCTAAAAACAAACTGCCCCTTAACGCCTAAGGAACAACTCAAAAGACTTCGGAGACGATGACGAGTTGGACTATTGACTTTTCAAAGTAGCAGCTTTTCAGTGACGGCAGGGTTGATTATGGAAACAAAACAAAGTTTATTGGGTTAAATTGTCAATAGAAAAAATGATGGGCTTAGATTGAAAATAAGGTAAATTGTAGGGGCATTAGTGCAAATGCGGCTTTCTTTTTTTTTCTCTATCATTCTTTCTCAAAATCCAGCTTTCATTGTTTTTTAAAAAAATGAAAAAATAAATATTAAAACGATATTTTTAAAAATTAAAGAAATTATTTGTTCCCTTCAAAAAATTAAAATTATATTAAAATGGAGAGTTTTTTCATTTTTTTAAAAAAAATTCACTAAATTAGATTTTAATATTTTAGAAAAAAATTAAAAATAAATTCTAAAAGCAAATTAAACATAAACTTGGACTTATGTTGTGGACATATAAACATCAATTTTCATGTCTTCAGATACAATCCATAAAGGTTTGTCCAATCTTTGTACATAAATCTTTGTAAGGTTTTCACATTGTTTTAGCAGTTCTTCTGCTTCCAGAATCAATTTGCCCATTTGTGTTGCACAAAAATACTAGCAACTTGATGAATCATTAATAAAGATTCTTCTGTCTTGCATAATGAATTAAAGATAAAAGAAATAAAGAAAGAGGAAGAATAACAAGACCAAAAAAAAAAAAGAATTGAACATCTAGGTGCATCTTTTGTGCATTGCATACGACTTCACAATAAAATTAATCTTTACCTCTCATCAAAGAAAGGGAAAAATAAGATCTACCATACTCAAATGGGAAAATGATCAAATTGCCACCATTTTTTCCTTTTTGAAGGAGTTAAAAAATACTGTGATAGTTGATGTTACTTTATTTTCATTGCAACAAGACTAGTCAACGGTTTAAGTTCAAAACTAAAATTCAGAACCTTTTTTATATCACCAAAACATATAGTAAAATACTTTTTGTTCTTTTACTTGCTTAATAATTATTTCAAAATAAAGGAATTAATTATGAATATTCATATGTAAGAGGTGATATAAAATGATAACAAAAAAATAAATTATATATAATATCTCATTAAATTTAAATAGTACTGATGGGGCAAGGCCCAGAAGGGCCCAACCCCATGGTTGCTATAGGTTTTTCAAACAATTATTTGATTAGTTATCATAAAGCCTGGTAGAACAGGCCTAAGAGCACTCATAGTGAAATGGCCATAGCCGACGGCAAGCAGGTGGCAGCCAATGAGACAACATAAATAGACAAGGAAATGATTAATAAGAGATATAAGCAACTTCTGAGGAACGTTTTGGTAACAAGCAATTTACTCTCTCTCTCTACTCTCAACCTTCTCTAAACTGTTATTTTGATCACATTCTCATCTAATTTGGTCGTCGGAGAGTCCGTAGAAAGTAACTACCCCCATTTCAGAACCTTTTTACTGGACTTGTTGCAGGTGTGATTAGGAAAACGAAAGGCAACCATCCTCTGGAGCGCTTGGATCAATCCAACTCATATCCTACCGACCAAACTGCATTATCTAGTACTAATATAAATGTTATCATTTTAAACTACATATTTCAAAATTACGCATTTTGTTATAATTTTAAAACAAACCTAAACTGATGATTTACCACATCACAATAAAGCTAAAAAAAATTATGTTATGAACATATAAATCAAACACATAATGAACACATGATACACATTTATAGAAAAGATTTTATAGCATTAATCCATGAAATTTACTTCTAAAAAATCTTATCAATCTATAGGAGTGTAAAAATGACCCGCAGCCCATGGGTGGTTCAAAACTTGCCTGTGGCCCGAGGTGTCCCGGCCCGATTAGGCCCGGGTTCGAGCCCAGTCCGAGACTCTAGGCTTGGCTTGGCCCGGTTCATCAGCCCGCTCATGGCCCACTCAAAGCCCAATCCGAGGCTTGGTCCGCCGAAACCCAATGTTATTTTTGGTGGAAAAAAATAAAATTTTGGCAAAAAGAATAGAATTTTTTTTTTTAAAAAAAAATATTTAAGCCTTGTCCAAACCCGAGTCCCTGCCCAGGTCCACCAACCCTATCTGAATACCCCCTAGGCCCAATCTATAGGAGTGTAAAAATGACCCGCAGCCCATGGGTGGTTCAAAACTTGCCTGTGGCCCGAGGTGTCCCGGCCCGATTAGGTCCGGGTTCGAGCCCAGTCCGAGACTCTAGGCTTGGCTTGGCCCGGTTCATCAGCCCGCTCATGGCCCACTCAAAGCCCAATCCGAGGCTTGGTCCGCCGAAACCCAATGTTATTTTTGATGGAAAAAAATAAAATTTTGGCAAAAAGAATAGAAATTTTTTTTTTTAAAAAAAATATTTAAGCCTTGTCCAAACCCGAGTCCCTGCCCAGGTCCACCAGCCCTGTCTGAATACCCCCTAGGCCTAATTTCCTAACCTATGGGCCGGCCCAAATTTTAACAGGAACCCGAGAGACCCGACATGGGCTGACCCAGGCCCGGGCCCGGTGAACCGAGCCGGGCCAAATTTACACCCGTTGTATCCAATTCCATACCAATTTCCGTGTTTATGAGCCTATGTTTTATAAGTACATTGGCTTATTTACTTATAAATCATATGTCAAAAAGTTAACAATTTATGTCTATACCAATTATGTTTATGGGGTCATTTCGCAATTCGTTATTTTAGTCTAAAAGATTTCAACTCATATAACAAATCAAAAATTTATTTTTATTTATTTTATTTTTTATATGTTTTTTTTATGAAAAATAAAAGAATCCTTCTTAAATGCATTGATTTTTTTTGTTAAAAAAAAATTCATTACAAAAAAAATTCATCTAATATTTTAGACAAATAATCACTAAAAAAATATAAAAAAAAAAATTATTCGAAACCCTTGAAATAAATATGAACAAAAAAATTCTATTTTTTTTAAAAAAATATAACTTCTAAAGGTACTTGGGATATTTACTTTTTAAAATATATATATATATATATATGCAATATTTTTTTAATCAAACAGGTTCAATTTTTTTTCACAATATCAAAATTGCACAAAATAAAATTATAATTTATTTATTTATTTTTGTATGAACAAACAATCTAAAAATTTAAGTGATACCAAAAGGGTATCATATTTTGGCCTTCTTTTAAGGAGATGGTTGAATTAAAATAGTTCATTAAAACATAAAATAGACTAAAATTTATATAATAAGATAAAATGTCAAATCCAAACTATAATCATTTTATTTTTTCTTTCATAACCATCAAATCCACTATTAAAAAAAAAACTAATCAACTTCCTAAAAATAGTCCAAAAAAAAAAAACTAAACACCCAATTAAAATAACCAACTCCTTAATGCTGTGTTTGGTTGGAGGATTTGAGAAGAAATTTGGAAAGGAAAAAAGAAAAAGTGTGTGAAACTATATGAAATTAAGACATATTTTATTTTCATTTCACTTACTTTTTTTATTTTTCTTTTTAAATTTCTCCTTAAATCTTCCAATCAAACACAACACAGCATAAGGCGTCCCTTGAGGCGTCTCAAAAGAACCAGATTTAAAAACCATTAATAGAGAATCAAGAGGGCCTTTTTATACAAGTAGTGGGACGGTCTCTGGTAATTGCGTTGTTGAGCTTTTTCACAAGAGCCCGTTTTCAATTTGGTCTCTATCTCTCCATTCTAGAGAGAGAAGAGTCTCCTGTAGAGAGAGAAAGCAGAAAAGAGAGCTTTCTCTTGTCGTCTTCCTCAATTGTCGTCCTGCGTTTTGATTAAACAAACCACACACCAAATTGTCCACACTTGTGTTTTTGTCTCTTTACATTTCATATATACAACAATTAACCAAAAAATTGAGTTTCAATTTTCAAAAGTTTGGTTGTCTCAAATGTCTTCTGATCTCTTTCTACTTGATGGGTATTTCTTATCTGATCCATTCTCACCTTTCACTGACTCACCCCCCATTGATATCATCCAAACAATCTCAGACAACAACAACAGCAGCAACCCAATTCTTCAAAACCCACTTCATGAATCCAATTCTTGGGACCAAATTGCCCCTTCAATCTTCTCATCTTCACCTCCAAGTGACCAATTGGAAAATCTCTCACTCTGCCAAACAACCCATTTGCAAGATGTTTCAAATTTCTCTGCTTTGGAAGTGAAAACAGAGGAGTGTCAATGTCAAGTCCCTCTTCAATCTCCTTGTGCTTATGGGTATCAACAGTCCTTCGGGGCTCACAGCTATGGATGTGCTGAGAATGTTTTGGTGAAGATGATGCAGAGGAGCTATAGCAGCAATTCTTTTGATGGAAAGCAACCCAGTCATCTTCTTCCTTTTCAACCTCGCTTTGATTCTCTCATGGAGTCTTCAATTTTTCAGCCTCAAGTCATGAGCTCTCCTGAAAACAACTTCTCCACTGGACTTATCAGAAGGGCTTCCAGCACTGGAGATTTACAGGTTACTTATTTTTTCTCTTTTTCATTTTTTCTCGAGGGTGTCCGGGAACTAGACACCCTACTAATCCCGCACATATGCAGTCCCTATTCCACATATACCAAATAATTATATATTCTACATATATTAGATAACAAGGCCTTTTTCTCTTCTTTTTTTATGTTCACAAATATATATCATGACATGAGTATGCGGGACGAGTACACGTAATTTTTGTGTCACATATTTCAAGTAATTATTGAGTGGATAGTGAAATTTAGGTTTGAGATTTTTGAATCCGTGACTTTTTACTGACCTGACCAACTGAATTACCTTGGATTGTGTGTAAATGTATATGTCTATTTATTTTTTTCCTAATTGTTGTTCAGAAGATCAAAACAAACCAAGCAAATCAGAGGTTATCATCAAGTCCATTAGCTACAGAGAGCTCATTCATGGAGGAAGCAAATTTCAAAGTGGGTCGTTACAGTGCAGAGGAAAGAAAAGAGAGAATTCATAGGTACAAAGCAAAGCGAACCCAGAGAAACTTCAACAAGACAATTAAGGTAAATATATAATTACCCAAAAAAATTAAGGTAAATATATTTTCAAAAAATAAATAATAAAAAAAAAACAATTTTTAATTGTCTAAATTAGACTTAACAAAATTTAATTTGTCCGTATGTGTTGGTGATGCCAGTATGCATGTCGGAAAACACTAGCGGACAATCGACCTAGGATACGTGGCAGATTTGCGCGCAACGATGAAACCGGAGAGATTCCTAAAGCTGCAAATTTGAATCGATATGAAGACGAAGATGATTTTTGGGTAAAATTTTTTTTTTTGCTATTCTTTTCAATGAACCATAAAATAAAGCAATTAGTGAACTTCCTGTTACTGAAAAAGACAAGTGGAGAGTGCAAAATCAAATGTTGTCTGTTTGGGTAATCTTTGTTTTATAGTTTTTTTTTTAATATTTATTTTTAAAAAATGCAAACAAATAGTGTCTATTTTGGTTTTTCAATTCTTTTAAAAATTTATACAATTTACTAAATTTTTGTCACTGCAAAAAAGTTGATTTTCATTGTTTTAAAAAGAAATATTCATTTCTCCTCTTATTCCTTCTGGCTATCATTGTTGATTTAACCTCTCAGCACTTGCATTCGGTTATCACCTCTTATAGAAATAGAAATCACCATCAATCACTATCTCTTATTGAAAACTATATTCAACAACTTTTAGTCACCATCTTCAACTGTCGACAATCATTTAGAGTCATCATTTCCCGTCCACTTCTCACACTTATTTTCAACAAATATGAACCAAATATACATATATATTTAAAAATATCAAATCAATAATATTTTCAAAAAAATAATTATAAATTAATGGTAAACTTATAAATATGTATAATTAAAGTTTTAAACTTTTTTATGAAATTGTAATTATTTTTTGAAAGTACAAATTTCATTTTTTCCTTTTTTTTCATCATTAAAAAAAATAAATATAAACTTGTTTAATATTTTTTGAAAACAACAATCAGTAAACTATAAATTTTACCAAACAACATTTATATGTTTGATATATATATATATATATTGGAACTTATTGAACTTTTTTAATGTGATGTGAGGGTAGATTGAAGGGTTGAACGAAGAAGAAGAGGAAGGAACAGTGGGAAGAGGACAATTCTTCAACATTTCTGGTCCGACCCAGCCTCAGTACCATGGCTATTATTGAACATATATAATTGATGAAGCAATGAACCCTATTATATATATTATTCTGGAGTTCTAAAAAAAAAACAGAAAAAAAAAAGAAGGGTCTATTAGGATGTATAGGGCTGGACCACATGGGTCATGAATATAGCCTTTTCTGAGCCAAAAAAAAAAAATCAGAAGGATTGATTAATGTCTGCCTGAATAACAGAATAATAAATGTAAGTGATGAGTTTGTAACTTTTTTTTAGCACTAGAAGCTGTGGTTTTTTATGATTCAAAAAAGCCTCAACCTTGTGGCACTCTTTGCATTTTGCTCTACTTCTTTTTCAAGTGTATATATATGTTTACATTGTAATCAAATAACAGCTCTCTTCATTTTGAATCATTCATGTTTCAATCAAGTTTCTTATTAGTTTGAGTAGAAATAGATCAGTTTGTTATAGAAAATTACCTTGATGTCACTAAAAAGTAAGCTTATTTTTTTGACTTTTTTTTTTTGTTGTCCTTCTTTTGATTTTTTTTTTAATTTCAAGTTATGTTTTTTAAGGTCTGCCTTCACCAAATGATTCTAAAATTGAATGAAAGTTTGAGTAACACATTAATTGAGATGCTCTGAACTAACCGAACATGGGGCAGTTACCACTCTAAGGTAGGTGAGTCTTTTGAACAGTTCATATTATAAAATTTGTCGAATATATTACCTATATAAAAAATCAAATTAATAAGATATCCATAACCATATAATTGGGTTTTTAATTATTTTTAAAAATATTATCAAAATTCTGTTAGCCATTTATTCTTTTACGAAAAATGTAATCTTGTTATAAGATTTCAAATATTTGATTAATCTGATTTTTTTATAAATAATTCACTCAATAAATTTTATAATACATACGGTTCAAATTATTAAAATAAACGTCAAATCATTCCCCCACCAACCCCATAACAGTTACTGCCATTGTAACCCCATGTCCCACACGTGGCTGAAAAGTTCTTACAACAAAACACTGGTACATATTGGTACGAATGCACAACGCAAAGAAGATCATGTTATGTCACGCTCGGATCAATCCTAGTAATCAATGGTCCAACACTCTATATATATTTAGAATTTTATCCAAAATAATGAATGTTTGGTCCAAATTTAATTTATATATTAACTCACGATATATCATTTGAATATCAACGCTTTATTTATTTTCTGGGTCAATTTCCTAATACTGAATTCTAGATACGTATACTTTTCCATAAAAGGTGGGGCTTGGTAATTAATTTTTTTAATATTCTCTTAATTTTTTAGGATTTACAAAAATTAAAAGATTTTTTTTAGAATTCCTGGTATTAAGATTTTATGACATAAAAGATATATAATATTTTTCATAATGTCTAAGGTCTCTCAAATCGATTCAGAAAAAATTCAATACGTGGAATTTCTCTGGACTTCCCAGATGAAAAATCTCAAAACCCAAGATATTGAATTGTGATTATGTTTCAATTTTAAATAACGAATGACAATCTCAATCAAGCAATTAAAGACAAATCAACAAAACGATTTAACGTGAAAAAATCACAATTGGAGTGTCTCTAACTGTGATAAAAAAATTACGTGCTAAAGTCACAAAACAATCCGCTAAGAAGACAAAAAAGAATTACACAAATTGTCACGACCCGCTCCCCGTACCCAAGGGTTAAGCATTGTGATGGCCAGTAACTGAGGTTACCTCCGGCCAATTCTAAAACAAATCAATAAACGCGAGCGAAAGTAATATTTAAATGAGGGTACCAAAATAATCATCAGAGTTTCTATTTTTATTACAAAATGTATTGACCAAAAAGATCGATATTTACATATAAAAAATATTATAAAAATGTTGTGTGTGTCTATTCTGCAGTCCCGCATCTAGGACTTTCCAAAGCTATTCCTGAATTGCATTATTTCCTGAAAATTTGTAAACAGCTATAAGCACATGGCAGAGTGAGAAACATTATACCAAGAGTATAAGGGACACAAAATAACCATGGATAGTTATGTAGCCAAAACATTTAAGATAACTTAGTCGGAATAAATAATCATTCAAGTAGCAAAACTAAGATTATGTAAATAAATAACCATAACCACGGTACTGAACAGAACAGAACAGAGGTCACAGAAGTGACAGTCAAAACAGAGGTACGGATTCAAGAGGTGGCTCGTACGAACTCTAGAGATGGCTCCCACAATAGTGTAGCACTTAGCTCCATACAACACTTTGCTCCGCACAAACAGAGGTCAATGGATCCATGACAAACAGAGGACCACAAAGTGGTCAAACAAAGGCCAATGGTTATTTAAGTCCCCCAAAGCGTGGGACTCCCGTGGTGGTACTTACAAAACAATATTTGTATATAAGATTATAGTCAAATATTCTTTAAAATATAAAGAAACATATCCATGGGTTTCATTTTAACAAATAGGGTTCAGAAATTAAACCACGTAACTGAAATATTAATATAGTTTATAATAATTTATAAAACATAACTTGTATAAAATAAATAATAGTAAGTCAAAACATACGTAAAATATATTATGGTGACTCAAGATATAATATAACTCACATTAACTTTAATTCCTCACCCTTTTTTTCTACTATCAAAAGCCCTCTCAGTTTCCACTATTTTTCCCATCCTTCTCTCTTTTCTTTCTCCTTCATTTCCCTCTTTCTTTCTTTCCTTTTCTTTCTTTCCTTCTCTCTTTTCCTTTCTTTCCCCCAGTGAACCACCGCCTCCCTATTTAGAAGAAGGGATGTACATACGTGGCCCGAATCTTCCAACAGATTCAATAATCAATTATAAAGATTCATTCTTATCTTTAATAGATATTTAAGATAATTACACTTTGACCCAATTTTTTTAATATAATTATATAAATAAATTAATTCCTAATTAAATTACGCTTTATCGTATACCAACAGTAAATTAATTATTTATTTTACTATCACGCCCATTATTATTATTATTTATTTATACTTTGACCCCTAAATTCACAATAATTATATTATTTTACAAAATTACATATACTAATACAAAATAAATCGTATATTTTTCTAACTGTGATTAAATAATATTAGCATAAATTTTACTGAATAGTTAAAAATCTGGGTTGTTACACAAGTGTACTCTCAATTATCTAACAAATCCACACCCGAATTAAATTGACCTAAATGTGCCTCTTCCAACACCATCTTCACTTCGGAATTGTCTTGTCCAACATTGAATCCACAACAGTGATGCTGAATCCATAACAATAAGTCACTCCGGAATCCACCAAAGCTTTAAAATCAAGTTTCCCAGAATCTACCGAAAAATAACTTTCTCTTTTGTGAATAAAGAAAACAAACAAACCATTGATGATGATGTTGATATGAAGTTCACAGATCTATTGATCACTCTTAAATCATCAAGGAAACACTCATAAAACTCCCTCCAATATAAAACAATTTGTATCTTGTTCCTCTCTAAAAATGTGGGCAGGTCAAACCCTAGAAACAGTGAACGATGCACTTTATAGAAAACAGGATCGCGCAGACTATTCGAGCGCACATTTCACCGCTCAAGCGGTATGACTAAAAGCGATGCGAAACATATACTTTGACTGCTCAAGCGGTAAAACTTTCTTCCCAGAAGTTCAAACGCTCTGCAAAAGTACTAGATGATCTTCCTCGTACTTAGTCAGCGAAGTGGCAAACATGAAAGATTAAGATCACAAACTCCTCTGTATAGACACAATTCGGATTAGATTCGCATCTAAACATTCATAGCTTCACTGTTATAAAAGAGCGAATAAAATTATAACTGAAAGAAATTTTGTCATACGGGATTGCCAATTACAAAAACCTAACAACAAAGAAATTCTCTCAGAAAAATTCCCTCCAAACTAGAGAAATTCGCCTCATTACGTGTAGAGAATTGCTTTGGGTTCAAACCACAGAAAAGTAAAATTTCTCTGAATTCAAGCAAAAGAATTCAGATAAAATTGAAGATAGCGTTTGGTAGAGTTTTAGAATTATGATTTGATAATAGAGTTGTATTTTGAGTTTGTGAGTTTTGAAATTATGATTTGAGTGTAAAAAATTTGTTTGGTTAAGAGTTTTGAAAATAGTTTTAAATTGAGTTTGAAATTTTTGATGTGACATATGATATTTGATTCAAAAACTTATAACTCATAACCAAACACACAACCCAAAATTCTATGCAAAACTCATAAAAAAAATTTAAAAATTCTAAAAATATCTTTTATTTAAAATATAAAAAACAACAAGTGCCAATTGCCAAAAAAAAAAAAAAAAAAAAACTGTTCTGGTCAACCCTTCTGGTCCACCTGCCAAATGTCCGAGGGGATGTCTGGGAGGATGACCGGGCAGACGTGTTTTTAAAAGTGAGTGTGAAATCAATTTTTGAAAATTCTAACCAAACACAACACTCAAACCAAGATGTGGAATCACGTTTCCAAAGCTCCACCAAACACAGCCGAATCTGGCTTTGTTCACAAATTTCTCTGACTTTGTTCAAAAGAAAATTGAAATTTCTCTGACTTTGTTCACAGAGAATTTTTCTGACTTTCTTCACAAATTTCTCTATGAAGAAAGCCTATAACAACCCCGAACTATGATTAGCCACTAAAACATGATTAAGAATGCATAATGAGTAATTAAGATGAAACTTTAAATTAATTGCATGTGTAATGCATTATTTGTGTTTATATCTGTCTGCTATAGGCATATCTGTTTGTGTTTCTATTTTGTTCTGCGAATTGAAGGCCTTATCGGCATCTAATCACAAAATTGGCTTGGTATATGTGTTATTTGAAATTTTTAGAATTTTATGGTAGATTTAATTAAAATTCAATTCGTAATCAAATAATTAGATTAAATAAGTATAAATTGATTAGGCTAAGCTAGATTAATTAGTGGACCCTATATAAGGCTAATGTTAAGCCTTAGACCACTTTACATACTCTCATTTCTCATCTTCTTGCCTTCAAACGTGAAGAGAGAAGGACTAAGAGAGAATTGAGTTCAAACAAATGATTTAGCTTGGAAATTCAAGGATTTGGCTTGGACCCTTAGTGAATTCACCATCTAGAGCTTAATTGCGAAATTGAGGTAAGGATTCAACACTTAGATTATATAATTATGATATCTAGACTATGAATTCTAGGGGGATTAAGTTGAATTATGCAAGAAATGAGCTAGTGAGTAGAAAAGATGAACATTTCATACATGCATGGGCATTTCATGGATTTGGAGTTTTGATTTCAACAAATTCTCACATG